TCCGAGGGTGTAAATCTTTACGGGAGTAGAAAGCCTCATCTTTCTCCCACGGAGAGGCTGGTAGTTTCGAACCGCTGACCTTAAGGTTCACAGCCCGATTCGTAACCACTACGCTACCAGAGCCAGATGTACAAAAATCCTGGAAACATAAAAGAACATAAAATTTGGAATGTTGAAGAGCTACAAATACTTCAGCTTGCTCTTTTTCACTAACCTTTGAGAAGCAAATGAAATGAGATTTATGAAACCATTCTGTAAGCTGTAAAGCATTACAATTGTTTTTACATTCATTCTTATTTGTCTGGTCAAGAAAAGGATAAGAGAGATTAACACAGAGAAATTGTCACATTAAGAAAATGTATCCTGAGAAGAATTGGTGAAAAAAAAAAAAAAAGATGATTGGCCATTTTGAAGGACAGCACATTGTTTTTAAATGGTGAATTGAGTGAAGGTTTACAGAAATCTCATACACTTCATTTCATCTTAGTGATTGCAGTCCTCTCCATGTAGTAGTTATCCTGCTTCCTTCCTCCCTGTGGTTCTCGTTTGCAGACCACCCACCTTCCCATCCCTTCTCAACTTGGTCCTTAGGAAAATGTAACCCTTTGATTTTGAATGACTAACCATTCCCTGGTTAGCATTCCTTACTAGTGTTGTTGTTCCCCTATTATACACCTGCCTACTGCTTGGCTGAAAACTGGGCCACCAAGAGTGAGTTTGATGGAAATAATTTTGCTAATCTAAACGATAATTATATTATGAGTTTTGTTTAACATTCATTGTATCATTTAAATTAATCCAGCTGAGCATTAATTGATTCACAGAGTGTCTTAATTGTGCTGTGAAAAATGTATGGGACTTAGAGTCCTAATACATGACTGCCAGTTGGCCAAATCATAGGAAGTTCTTTCAACTTCAGCTTCTTCATCTTTGATGTGGAAATGATAATATTCATCTCATATTTTGTTGTAAGGTTTAATTTGTTGTGTTGTTGTTGTTAAGTGCCGTGGAGGTGGAGTTGGTTCCGACTCATAGCGACCCTACACAGGGTTTCTGAGGCTGTAAATCTTTACGGGAGCAGACCGCCTCATTTTTCTCCCGTGGAACCGCTGGTAGTTTCGAACTGCTGACCTTGCGGCTCACAGCCCTATTCGTAACCACTACGCTACCAGAGCTCCTTAAGGTTTAATTTAGACAAGTAAAATTACTATTATTGGTTTCTTTAATGAATTCTGTATTTTAAAAAAAATCTTTAAAAACAAAAAACGTTTATTCACTGTCTTGATTCAGATTCCATGAGAAGTCCTGGAATGAAAGGTTTGTAATAAGAAATACAGTTAGTCTTTTGTATATAACAGTTAGGAGAGCACAGTGGCTTTGTAGGATAAGCACTAGACTTCAAAACACAAGGTCGGAAGTTCAAGTCCACCAGCCACTCCTGCAAAGATTTACACACAGATTCAGCCACACCACACAGGGCACTTAACATCAACATGTGAATAGAGTGCGCTCTTTTAAAGAAAGAAAGAGGTTCTGTGGTGGTGATTGTGTGCCATGGAGTTGCTTCCAATTCCTAACAACTCTGTATATGACTTCGAGGCTGTAAATCTGTATGGGAACAGAAAGCCTTATCTTTTTCCCATGGAGATGCTGGTAGATTTGAACTACTGAACTTGTGGTAGTTGGTCAGCAGTCCAACTCATAACTTACCATGCTTCATGCTTTTAAAGACAATGAAAATTTCTCTTATTCTTACAACAAACCTGTTTGATTTTGATTAATTTTTTTAAGGCAAATGAATTTTAAACAGTTACTGATTATTGCTAAGTATATATATATTTAAAACCAACCACCAATCTGTTACTATCAGTAACAACAGAATGTAAAATTGATGGAAAGGGGAGGGCAATAAAGGAATTTGCCTTTTAAAAATGAAGAGTTCTAATGAATGATTTTTGTATAGAGAAGTTGGTGGCAGTACTTGGCCACTTTGGATGTAACCTTGTAGGGAAAAAGACATTCATTTGCTAGTTTTAATTTTTATATAATGTATTTCAAGTAAATCCTGCCAAAGCCCTCAGTGTTTGTGAACTTGACTGCATTCATGAAATTCAACAACTTGAAATCTTCTTTAAAAAACACCCCACACATTTCTAGAGTAGACTTTAATGTAGTTGATGAATTCTGAAGTACGGCTGTTGTTTCCATTGAGTTGATTGTGACTCATGGTGCTCCCATGTGTGGAGAGTAGAGCGGAGCCCTGGGGTTTTCAAGGCTGTGGCCTTTCAGGAGCATTATGCCAAACCTGTCTTCTGAGGTGCATCTGGAGGCGTTAAAACCCCCAACCTTTTGACTGGTAGTTGAGCACTTCACTGTGCTACCTAGGGATTTCTTTCCTAAAATAGCAAAAGTAAAATTATGTCAAAAATTGTGTAGTTGCTAACTAGAAAAACAAGGAGATGTTTATAAAAAGATAATTTGCCTAGCTTAGTTGCATTGAAAATATTATTACTGTTTTTCTCTGGTGGCCTTACCTCTTTTCTGTTTTTGTTGCATACATCTTTTGCCTAATTTTGTGGCAAACTCCTGGTAACTCTCCTTACCTTAGAGTTCGGTCTTCTGTCTTGTCTGTCTTATACATAATTATATCATCTTCCTGTTGTTGTTAAGTGCTGTCGAGTCAGTTCTGACTCACAGCAACCTTGTATAGGGTTCCCAAGGAGCAGCTGGTGAGTTTGAACCACCATCCTTGTGGTTCAAACTGACTTTGCGGCCCAGTGCTTTAACCCACAGCACTACACTGCTTATTCTGGAATATAGTTTTGCTTGATCATTCCACTTTAACTCACTTTTCCTCAGTCACATATTGTTCAAGAACTTTTACAGCTGCCTTGCCCATTTTGGTGAAAACATAACCAACCAACCAACCAAACAGCTCATGAACCCTGGTAAAGTAATAGCTTGGGCTGTTCCTGCACTTGCAGCTTGTTCATCCCTTCTTTTATATGTTTTTATGCATGGGGACTTCAGATAGTTCTTTGAAAATTTCCATTATCTTTTAATTCCATTTTTCCATGAATTTTTTGAAGCTCCCTTGTATCTCTTCTTTTGTTGTTGTTGTTAAGTGCTGTCGAGGCGGTTCCAACCCATAGCGACCCTGTATAGGGTTTCCAAGGAGCAGCTGGTGAGTTTGAACCACTGACCTTGGAGTTCAAATGACTTTATAGTATGATGCATTAGCTCACAGTGCCACACAAGGGCTCCATCTTCGTTTTTAGACTAGAGCAGATAAAATGGGTCTTAAATGCCTTATTCCCTAGATCCCTCTCACAATTTTTAAACCAGTTTCAAATTTTATTATTTTCAGGTGATTTTACTAATTTTCCCTACCTGACTTTGCACTTTTTTAGTTTTCAAAAAATGTGTACTTTAAGAAATTTGATACTTTTTAAAAATCTATGAATAATTCTGCTTATGCATTATGGTTAACTTTCTTGCAAAATTTTTGTTTTATTTTTGTTCTATGGATGTGTTTTTCTTTTAGATTATAGTCTGTTTCAAGGACAATAACTTTGTCCTCTACTATCTTTCTTTTATCTACTTCCAACAAATACATGTAATAAGTGAGTATAATAAATATCAACTAAATGCGTCGACATTATATTGGTGCTTATACTGGCTTCTTATTCTGTGTTTTTCCTTAGCAAATTGAGGCAAAATTCTCATCAATGTCTTGCGTTTATTTGTGTTTTTATTAAGTGTGCAGTGTTAATTGTAACAAGTCTACTCAGACCAAACTTTGACATTTACCTGGACTGGTTGATCCAGATCCTTGATTAAAAGTGTTTCTGTATTTTGAACATGATGGTGTTGAGTGAATTACAAAATAAAAGACTGGTAAGTGATGTTTTTAGATCATGATTTTTATGTCCCTAGAAATTTTAATTAGTCTGAAATTGTTACACTAAATGATGGTCTTTATCAAGAAGAGCAAAAATGAAGAATCAGAATTGAAATAATTCAGAATATTAGAGAAAATATAACCTGTTTAATTGGCATTTCAGAGTTTGACTGAAAAATTACTGAAGAAAGAACTTGACTATACAAATCTAGAGGAGAAACATACTGAAGAATGTGTGAGTAAAAAGAATATACAGGCAAGCCTTCATCAGAAAGACCTAGATTGTCAACAGCTTCAGTCAAGATTATCTGCATCTGAAACTTCACTACAGAGGATACAGGCAGAACTTGGTGAAAAAGGAGAAGCTACGCAAAAACTCAAGGAAGAATTATCAGAAGTGGAGACCAAGTACCAACATCTTAAGGCAGAGTGTAAGCAGCTGCAGCAGCAGAAGGAGGAAAAGGAGCAGCATGGATTACAACTCCAAAGTGAAATTAACCAAGTAAGAGATGGTAGTTTTAGTGATTGTAATTTCTTCTGTTTTCTCTTTAGTGTGCTTGGAGCTATCAATAGGTGATAATAACGCAGCTGATTTTTAGATTTGTTTTCATTCTTTAGCACTAACTCTTACTTGTTACATACTGTTCAGTCAGGTCTCATTTCCTTTTATTGCTTTTTCCCTTATCTGTAAGAGGAGGAAACAAATGATAGTATACCCTTACAGCTTGGTGGTGAAGTGGTTATGGGTTTCTTATCATAGACTTGGTACATATCAGAAACTTTAGGTGGTGGTGTTGTTAAGTGCTGTCCAGTCGGAGGAGTGAATGGTGGGTTTGAACCACTGACCTTTTGGGCACCAGTCTAGTACTTATTCTACAGTGTCAGACAAGGACTCCTAGTAGGTTTTAGTTTTTATAGTTAATTCAAATGGTTGGTCATCTCACCTTTTAAAAAAATTTTTAATTTTCATCTTTCTTACTAAATTTTAATAATACAATTATCATAAAGCCAATGCTATAAAACTTAAATATTTTAAAAGACTAGTCCTCACACAGTTATTTTATAGGTAAATAGTATCTATTATTTTTATAGGTAAATAGTATCTATCAAAGGAGCTATGGTGGGGTTGTGGCCTAGTGCTCGATGGCTAACTGATAGGTCAGTGGTTTCCCCAGTCACTCTGCAGGAGAAAGATGTGGCAGTGTACTTGTGTAAAGGTGACAGCCTGGAAACTCCTAATGACCCCGTAGGACAGTTCTACTCTGTCCTGCAGGGTCATAGGACTTGAAATCAATTTGACGGCAACCGGTTTGGTTTAATGTCCATCAAATGAAGTTTTCACTTTTGTCATTAGTGTAATTTTTTTCATGTCTGTCTGTTACTTATGTTGTTGTTGTTAGGTGCCGTGGAGTTGGTTCCAACTCATAGAGACCCTATACAGGGTTTCCAAGGCTGTAAATCTTTATGGGAGCAGAAAGCCTCATCTTTCTCCCATGGAACTGCTGGTAGTTTTGAACTGCTGACCCTGAGGTTAACAGCCTGATTTGTAACCAATACGCTACCAGAGCACCTTGTCTCTTTCTTATAGATAATATTGAAAATGGAATGAAACATGGAGATTCAGAGGAGATAAAAATCCTTTAAGCAATTTTTTTTTAAATGTACTATTCTGATTACAGATAGTCCCCGGATTATGAACAAGTTCCGTTCCTAAGTCTGTATTTAAGTCAAATTTCTATGTAAGTTGGAACAGTTAGACTGACATTGTTGTTATTGTTAAGCCCCATCTAGTTGGTTCCGACACATAGCAACCTGTATAGGGTTTCCAAGGAGTGGCTGGTGAGTTTGAATCACTAACTTTGTGGTTCAGACTAACCTTATAGTTCAGTGCTTTATCCCACAGCACCACACCAGGACTCCTAGACTGACATTACAACAGTTCATATCTAATGTCAGTTTGTCTAGTATATAGTATATAGTATATAGTATATAGTATATAGTGTGTTCCTGTGTTGAGTTCCGTAGCGTCAGTTCTGATCCATAATAACCCTGTACAGTGTTTCGGAGGAGCGGCTGTAGAGTTTGAGTTGCCAACCTTGTGGTTCAGACCAACTTTGCAGTCCAGAGCATTAACCCACAGCGCCACCCCAGGACACCAGCATATAGTGTACCTGCGCATCAAAAAAGAAAACACTTATGGATACACTAAAACATCTTTAACATAATACTACTACTAATATTTTGATGTTTGTAGCATTGTGTGTACCTTGGATTTTTAAGATGGAGTTTGGTTTGTAATTATGGATTGTGCTTAGTTGGATATTCATTACCCAGGGACTGCCTGTATGCATTTTCAACAGTTTCTGCATGTCTATCAGTTCAAGTTTCTGCATATCATTTAATGACATTGATTATATTCTGTGAGTTTTGCAACTATTCTTGCCCTTCTTTTTTGAGTTGTTCCTCTTCCATTACTATAAATTCACTGCCATCTAAGGTTCCTTTCCAATCTGCGTCAGTTTGATCCCATATAGGCAGTTCTTAAAAGAGCACAGTGCCCAAGGCAGACCTTTTTTGACTATTTAAGCTAAATGATTGTTCAGTTTTAAGAAGACTTCAGAGTATATTTTTGGTTTAAAATTTGAAGGCAACTGTTTCAGTGATTCATCAACTTTCATGGCTCCAGGAAGTCTGGAAACCATGGAAATTTGAAATTCTCTTCCACATTTTCTGTTTTGATCAAAATTATTCTGTGGAATCTTTGATTAAAATGTTCAGTAATGGTAGCCGGGCAGCCTCCGTTTCTTCTGTTCTCCTAGGAAAGGAGGCATTTGTTTATGGATGCAGTTAGCTGCACATGGCTCATCCTCTTCCCAATTCTGTCTTGCCTTCCTTGCGGTCCCAAGCAGATAGAAACCAACTGTTGTGCCTTACATGACCACTCACTAGCTTTTAAGACCCCAGACACTGCTCACTGAACTAGGAGGTAGAATAGAAATACTAAGCATGTTATGAGGCTAGTAACTGGGGTGTATGTTGAAGCCATGACCTAAACCTCCAAACCAAGGAACCAAGTCCCAGGAGGTGCCTGGTACACATTAGCCTTAGCAGCTACACTATTGACTGATTTTTGGTTGTTATTGTTACAGATGTATCACACAACTTTAGTCAGTTCAGTACATTTTTATAGCTGTATTGCCAGCAATTCTCATAATCTGCTGTGCTATCCTACTCTTAATCAAAAAGATATTTACAAGACTGTTAACACCCTTTTTCCTACTTTCTTGTACCTGGTAACCACTAATAAATTGTTCTCTGTACATTTGCTTTTTCTTGTGTGTTTATATATATGGTCCATGACTGTTGGTCCTTCTGTATGACTTTGTTCACTCACCATGGTCCTACAGGTCCATCCACATTGTAGCAGGAATCAAGATTTTACCTTCTACTAGCTGAATACTCCATGGTCTGTCTAGAACACATTTTGTTTTCCATTCATCTGTTGGTAGTCATTTAGATTGTTTCCACCTTTTGACTATTGTGAATAGTCAGTCTGTCATGACCATTGGTGTATAGGTCTGTGAGTCTTTGCTTTCGAGCCTTTTAGGTATATACTTAGAAGTGGAACTGTTGGGTCACATGGTAATTCTATTGTTAGTTTTATGAGGAACACTAAATTTTTCTACAACTGTGCCATTTTGAATCCCCACTAGCAATGAGTAAAGATTAAAGTTTTCCACATCCTCACCAACATTGGGGAGAGTGGTGGCCCCATATAATAAGCACTGGGCTTTCTTTTCCCATGAACATTTAAAATGCCTCAGAAACATTATTGCTGCTGTTGTTAAGTGCCATTGATCGTTTCCAACCCATAGCAAGTCTGTATAGGGTTTCCAAGGAACAGCTGGTGAGCTTGAACCACCAACTTTGTGGTCCAGCGCATTAACCCACAGCGCCACACCAGAAACCCTGTTGTTATTGTTGTTAGATGCCATCGAGTCAGTACCACACTGACTCATAGTGACTTTATGTACAGCAGAACAAAACACTGCCCGATCCTGGGCCA